AGGCCACACTTTGAGGAGCCCTGTCCTAGGCATTGCCTAGTAGATTATTATACATTATACATCATTTATTATAATGTGGGAATTACTTATATATTTTACATATATACTTCATAGAAAATGTATCATAAATAAGATTCAGTTTTGAAATACGGTAATTTCAATGTATATTAAGGCAAAATATAATATGGGATTTCCAAAGTTAAAATTTATCTTGTTTTCACTCAATTAAAAAATATATTCCAAATTTGCAGATTTTTTTAATGCTATTGCTTAGCTTAGATATTGCCAATTACATATTAAATTCTATAGGTAACAGGTATTTAACCAGTGAAACAAATCCCTTGTCCTCCACAACACAGATTGAGCCATGTAAGATAGTATCCAGACTGCAAAGGTAAGCACCAGTGTTTCCTTCCTGATACCTATGTTATGGCCATGGCAATAGAAAGCAATACATGAATCTGAGCTAAGTAGTTTAACCTTTCTTGAGATGTTCGCCTCCTATTTTGGAATTTCTGGTTAACACCGGCTTTGGGAAAGATGAAAGGAATTTAGAAGGAGTCTTTTTAGTGAGGAATAAAATACATTGAACACAATAGTCGGATATAAAAATTCTGTCTTAATCTTTTTTGTCACCAGGAAATTTCTCATTAAATTTCTTATTAAAATTCTTATTGCAATTATGAACCATCTTCTAGCCTTATAAAATGAGCTTGTCATTTTTTAAACTGTTACAATCCATCTACTTATCAAAGAGGAGGTCAGGAGTGATAGATGCTAATAGGAAGCTACTGGTGATTCCTACTTGCCTCTCGGGGTGAACCGGGCTTCCCTGGAGGGCTGTCCGTTCCACTTGCCTGAGCAGTGAGAGTAAGGGCACAGGCAGAAGTCTGCTGCTGCCTTAGAGAGAACTGCAGGCCTGGGTCCTCCCCTGATAGGGATCTGCAAGTGTTCGCTTTCCTAGACTCTGGCAGTGACTTGAATGTTTACATTGTTAATGCTCTGAGCACAGGTAATGGCAGATTAAAACATGAACAGCATGACCAACAGAAACAAAGGTTTATTGATAAGGATCACTTCTTCTTGACGGAAGACAAGAGGGCAGAGATGAGGCTGCAGGGGATAGAGTTATTGGGGCAAAGAGAAAGAAAATGGGAAGGGTAATGCGAGCCTTTAAAAAGTGCTTGATGGTAAGGAAAGAATCCCTTAGATCCTTTCTGGTCTCGTTGCTCTCATAAACCAAAAATGTAATCAGATGAGTAATAGACACAGTGTTCCTAGAGTTCAGAGTGTCTTCTGCATTTATGTGGAAAAGTAAAAGGTGGTGAGGCTGAAAGGTTTAGTAAAATTATATCACTTGAGTGAAAAAAGTATTCTGTGTTCATATCCTAATAAACTGTTAAATTTACATAGTTAGTTCCTCTAGTTCTAATTGAGAATCGAGTGTTCTCTTTCGTTTTCTGCAAATTTGGGCTTTGTGCTTGAAAGTGCATTTTAAGCTAAGTTTCCAGAGATAACATTTGCAAGTATATGTGCCATGGTATTTGCACATCTGCATGTAGAAACATTGTGAATTATGCACTTACTGGCAGAGGTATTGTGCTCACTATGGGTTTATTGTTAACTTTGCCTATAACCTATGGGAAGGGGGAACAGAGGGAAAATTTACTAAGACAGTTCATTGTGTAAAACCTTAGCCTACCTAATTTTAAAAGCCTACAAATTATTTTCAAGATTTCCTAAGCAACACTTTTCAGGTAACAAACACATGGGCTAATTATCTGATTCCTATTAGCACTAAAGCCTGGCAGGTTCTGGAGTGAGTCAAGTGCCTGCACTCTTTTTCTGGACCGTTGGCAATGTTTCTGTATTGGTTAATATAAAACTGCTTATTTTTAATGGACTCTCCTTTAGTGTTTTCAGATGCAGACTATTTCCAATATTTGGAAAGTAGTTTAGATCCTAATTAATTGTTAAACATATTATTTTATGCTGATGAGTAAATCATAACATTAATCATAATATTTGGACAAGAAATTGATAGAAAGATTGTGGATTTTAACTTGTTACAAATAATCTAAACTTTCTCGGAAGTGTTTCAAAATAAGATTAATTTTCAACTTAGATGTTCATGTTAATTTTCTGACGTTTATACTTATATTACCATTTGGGAAGGCAATATGTCCTTGTTCTTAAGAAGTACACTCAGAGGTGTTTATGGATAGGTACATTATGTCTATAATTTCAAATGATTTGCAAATTATACATAAATACATATAAATAAACATGAATACAAATATTTCCAGCCATGCATCACTTAATGATGGGGATTCGTTCTAAGAAATGCATTGTTAGGCAATTCCATTATTGTGGGAACATCATGAGGTGCACCTACACAAACCTAGCAGGTGTAGCCTACTACACACAAGGCGTGGGGCGGAGTCTACTGTTCCTAGGCTGCAAATCTGCACAGCACGTCCCTGTACTGAGTACACAGGCAGTTGTAATTCATTGCACTACGCTGTCAGGACAGCTGCAATGACAGTAGGTGTCGGGAATTTTTCAGCTTCATTATAATCTTATGGGACCACTGTCACATATGCAGTCTTTGACCACAAATGTCATTATGCAGCACATAACTGTATATATACATATTTATAATATATAGGGAGATAGACACAAACACACACACTAGGGAACAAGAGAATTATAAAGCAAATGTGGTAAAATTTTAAAAATGGGAAATCTCTGTGAAGGGCATACTGGAGTTCTTTATCCTTACAGGTTTCCTGTGAGACTAAAATTATTTCAAAGAGATGAAAACACGTTCATACTGATGGTGAAACAGAAACTGTTGCAATCTTTTTCAGAGGAAATTTGGACAATGTGTATGAAAGGCTTAAAATCCATATCTTTTAATAATCTGCTTCTGGGAATCTAGATTAAGGAAATAATCATTGAAAGGTATAATGATGTATGTGTAAAGTATTCATCACAGAAGTTTATATATTACAGCAAAGATGTATTATAATGAAATCTTTGCAGTCTCCTGAGTATATATTATCAGAAGATTGACTTTCTAATTAGGATGTGTCTGTATATATAATCTGTAGTCTTTAAAATTTTGCCGAAGAAATTTAGTTTTGGAAAATGTTCAGAATATTAAAAATGAAATCAATCTAGGTATAAACTAATTATAGTTATTTTTCCAACTCTTTGTGGCAAAATACATATAACAAATTTATCATCTTAACCACTTTTAAGTGGACAGCTCAGTGCATTGACTATGTTCAGGATGTTCTACAACCGTCACTACTGTCCATCTCCACAGCTCTTTTCATTTTGTGAAACTGAAACTCTTTCCCCGTTAAATGCTAACTTCCCCAAGGCCACCTTTCCCCCCGCACACCATCCTGCTCTTCCTTTTTTCGAGTTCTATTACCCTGAGTACCTCACAGTAGAATCATGCGGTATTTATCTTTTTGTGCCTGGCTTCTTTCACTTAGCTTTATGTCCTCAGGAGTTATCCATGTTGTAGCGTGTCACAAGTTCCTTCCTTTTTAAGGCTGAATAATGTTCCGTGTATGTATATACCGCATTTTTCTTGTCTGCTCATCTGTCAGTGGATACTCTGATCCCTTCCATGTTTTAGTTGTTATGAATAATGCTGCTATGCATGTGGGTGTATGTAATACCTTCTTGTGAAATATTTTGTTCATGAACTTTTTTTTTCATGGAAATGATACTGCAAAGGTATATGATAAAATGTTAGTAGTAATTTTCCTAAGTACTGAGGTGGTGATGATTTTATTTATTTTAGTTTAGTTGGTAACTTTCTGTTTGACCTCATGGAAAATTTAATACATTTGATTGGCGAAAAAATAGTTACCTTGGGTGGGAGAAGGGCCCCGGCCGAAGTGTCCAGGTAGCCATGCAGTTCAAGGTACACAGCACAGTTCAAAACCTTCTCCTCTGTAGTAACTGGTCATAAGTTACAAAAATACTATTTAAAATTTCACTAACAGTAATCAATCTCTCAAACGTATATGGTGCCTTTAATAAGAATGGTGCTAATATTATTACTACATAAGTGCAGCAGGTTTTAGATCCGTTTTCTTAAACTATTTACCAGAGACTACCTGCATGTAAGTTATTTGGGTGGTTGTAGGAGACAACAGCAATAACAACAAACACTCTGAATAAACATCTCCAGGATTGAAGTCAGTCAATGTACATGTGCACAAAGCTCTACAAGTCATTCTTATTTATATGATGTTTGAGCAGTCATGCTGTAGGCAAATCTGATTTGTTAAGAACTTGAGTTAAAACAACATCAATAATATTTAATAATTTATTTTATAAAAGGATCACACAATAATTCTTTGAGTGGGACACACGTATTCTTTTAAAATAAAATATTTTGAAAAATCTATGTGTGCATTTTGAAGGTCATCTTTGTTTAAAGTGACGCACATCCATATATACTGTATTTGGCAACATTTGAGGAGTCCTATTCCTTTGTATCCATCAGAAGATGAGAGTGTTTTATGTACAATGAATATAGATTAGTGTTTTTATACAAAATCATGGTGTAGAGCACTCCAGAAGCCACATGAGAAAAGCCTGTAAACCCATCAGCTCCATCTGAAATAAAGATGAACTATCTACTTATGTTATTATATTTTAGGGACATTGATCCATTTACTACATTTGTTTATATTCTGTGCTTTATTTTATGTCAAGCCCATTTCTTACAGCGTGCTCTTGAATCAAGTGCCTAGATGAATCATGATTCATACTAGTTGACATTATTTAATTTGGGGGGCTGTGTGTGTGTGTGTGTGTGTGTGTGTAATGTTTTAACTGATTAACAGATGAAAAGTACCTCTCGCATCTTGCATATGGAATTTAGCAAACACTTTTAGGAAAGAGTTGCTTTGTAATATTTAGGTAAAATATTCTCTGTTTTATGAATCTCTTTGCTTTCTTTTTAATTTCAGATTTTGTTGATGGATCTGTACACCACAAAGCCTTACTTATATCTGTGACAGTTTGTAGTTTGCTCATGGTTTTTATCATTTTATTCTGTTACTTCAGGTAAGTTTCCAACATGTAGATGTAGAATTTTGAGTTTATAATGTCTTTTCTCATACTATTATCCTACCCATTGATGTTTTTCCCCCCACAGCTTCCTTTGACCTAATTTGATCTTAGATTTCACTGATAATATTAGTTACTATTGATAAATATTTGTCCTGATGAACCTATTAATAGATACCTATCTCATTTGTGTTTCAGGTATCAAAACCACCCAAATCTCACCCCAGGGAAATTAGGGCAGTTAAGGAATTAAGGAACCAGTTGCTACTGAGTTTGATTCTAAGCAGAGAAATGAGCATGTTGAACAGAATTGTTCTAATAATTTCTTATTTCCTGAGCTAACAATTTCCCCTAGTATTGAAAGATTTTTAAGATAATTTATAGACGATTAAATTAAGTTTAGTTACTGTATTAAAGTTAAGTATAATGATTATAAATTAGTTTTAGCCACCTAAATATTTATTTTGTAGTTTGTGAAATATCGAGAACCTTTAAATTCATGTCACTTAGCTTTTATAACACTCATTTATAAAACTGTTCTGCAAATGGGAATTGATTCAAATACATTTATTTCTTAAACATTGATCAAAAGTTTTTAAAGTTTAAATTTATTTAACTTTTCTGTTATTGGTCTACATATTACCTTATCTGAGAGAGTTAACGGCATTGTCTTTTGCACACCAAAAATTTGCATCTATATTAATTAGGGAGACCTTAAAGGGAAATATTTTAGGGATTGAGTATAATGGAACTATATAGAAATATTAACAGACCGTAACCTGCTGGGAAATAATCAGTTGAAAGGAATAGAAAAGAAGAATTGGAGATGGTTAAGACTGAGTTAAAACATGTAGTTTACTTTAAAAACTCAGTTAGGAAAGTAATTATAATTTGTATTTTGGAAATCATAACTGAGGATAATAAATACTGAGCATCATTCTTGCATTGTTTTAGTGTGCTAAATTAAAACCTGCCATGATTAATGTTTTATCTGCAAGGTTCACCAGTGTCGTTGCAGTTCAGGGTCTAAAATGATCTTCCTCTATGCATCTTTAGGTATAAACGACAAGAAGCCAGACCTCGGTACAGCATTGGGTTAGCACAGGAGGAAACTTTCATTCCTCCCGGAGAGTCCCTGAAAGACCTAATTGAGCAGTCTCAGAGCTCAGGAAGTGGATCAGGCCTCCCTCTGCTGGTATGAGAAGAACATATACAGAGTTTCAAGGAATGTTTTCTCAGAGGAAATGTCAATAAATACAGGGTTTCATTTTACTGAAACAGATAGGGCAGGACAAAGATGACATTCTGTGCGATCAGTTAGATATCAGATCTCAGATGCAGGGCTTCCTGATAACATTTTGACATACTGGGGGTAAGGTGATTGTTTTTTAATGTCAGTGTATGGTTACAATCCAGACCCTCAGACATTCTGATGAAGGGCAGATTAGAAAACATTAAACATGGGGCCATCTTCCCTCTGTTTTCAGTAAGGATAGTGTTACTGCACTTTGGCCTGGCTTTTGAAGGCAAAAGTATTACTACCAACTGGGATCTGAGTACTTTTACAAGGAAAGAAGGCTGCATTTCAGCTGGAGGGCTTATGTTTCAGGGTGAAGTCCTGGCTTTTCCATTCAGGAGAGGTTTAATTTTCTGATGGTCAACACTGCCAACCTTGAAGAAAATATATACTGAATCCAAGGTACTTGCTTTAATGAGAAAAACATTTTGTTCCTTTATGGACCATGCAAAAAAAAATATTGAGACTTGGGATGGAAATAACAATTCTAATGAGAAATATTTTCCTTTATAAACTCTTACAATTGATTTTCCTAATCTTTATTGTGTGGTTCTGACCTTGGATATCTTGTTGACTTTATTTCTTAGGTGACCTTTTATTTAGTACTAAAAGTATCTGAAAAAAAATCTTAAGCCATGAATTTATCTTACAACATTTTTTTGGACATACAAAAAGCTGTTTATATTTAATGTGTCAACTTGAAGAGTTTGGTAGTGAATATATATTCATGAAACCATCACCACAATCTATGATGTAAGCATATCCATAACCTCCAAAAATTTCCTCATGCCCTCATTATTTATTACTATTATTTTATGATAAGAACACTTGGCATAAGATTTATTCCCTAGCAAATTTTAGAATACATACACTTCTGTTAACTGTAGGCAGTGTAGATCTCTAGGACTTACTCATCTTGCATAACTGGAGCTCTGTACTTGTTGACTAATACCTCCCCTGGAGATAATAGTCCAGACAGAAAACCATTTGTGAAATAGTATTTATCACCAAACTGATGCTACCTAGGATGTAAATTTTCCTTATGTGTAAGTTCTTATTATCAAATTGCTTGGTTCTTTTATTTTTGGAATTAATATATATCAAATACAATTCTTATATTTAAAAATATTATTCTACATTTTAAAAGAAAAGTATAAATACTGAAATCCCCTTTGATATGAATGAATCAGATGCTCATGCTCTCGGACTTGAAAGCTATTTATTTTCCTCCTTCTAACCCACCTTCCTCATTGCCGTGGAGTTATCGCCCTGACATCTCTGACCTTACCCTGTTACTTCCCCGGATAAACCCTTCTCCTGTCCAGTAGCATTTCTGGGACTTCTGTCTTAGCTTCGTCAGCATGGCATGCCTCTCCCCGAACGTGTCCCCCAGCTGCTCCCCCAGCTCTAACATCAGCCTCCAGTAGTGGTTTCTCAAATACAGTAAGTCCTCCCTAAATGTCGTCAATAGGTTCTGTGACTTTAAGACAAATGACTTATAACAAAACCGATTTTACCATAGGCTAACTGACATAAACAAGAGTTAAGTTTTTTCAGCATCTCACCAAGGTTATAATGAAATGACTTTGAATGAAACAATATCTTTAGGGGGATTTCTCCAGGCTTCTGGCTCCTGGCCTACCTCACATTTTACCTCTCTGCCTACTTATCCCAGACTGAGCCAGTCTGTCTGTCTTCTGTCATAACATTGTGCTTATAGTGTCAATACAGCAGATTAAAATACCGTAAAATCGATGTCAGTGTCTTTAGATGGACTCTCATTTCGGCAGGGGAGACTACATTTCGTTCACTTTGTATCCCTCCAGTTGATTAAATGGGCTGCTCAATAATTCATTTTAAAAGCTTTCAATTCCAACTTTTACTATCTGTGAAAATACTCTCTTTTTTCTATAAACCAGACACCAAAAAAATAGGATTTGGCTTCTATCAAAAAAAATGAGTGAGAACAGCCAGATTGCCAGACACTGGCCTTTATAAGTACAGTCTAACTTAATCCTCATGGCAACCCTGTGAGGTCATTCTAAACATATATCTCTGCATTACACAGTAGATACATAAGCCTAGATAGGTTGACTAGTAGTATGGGGAGAGGCCAGGATTCAAACCCTGGTGATCTGCCTCTAGAATCGGTGCTCTTAACATTTGTGAGATGCAGACCAAATATAAGTTAAATAAAACAAAGAAATGCAGTTGATAGGGGCAGTCTGGGAAGAGGATCCTATAAAACTAGTTTAGAAAAAAAATCTCAGTATTACAGGTGTAATGTCTTGTTTTAGGATAGTGCAAAGTGTGTAATACATTACTGTGTGAGTTAGTATTTCACCTTGATGCTAATTTGTTATATACAAGTATTTTATTAACATAAGGGGAAAATTCATGCCTTGGTATATATATTTACCAAATATCTTTATATATAAATCCTTTAAGAAAGGAATATCAGAAGTTGGTTGTAAGAATTAAGATAGTTTGTGTGTCTCCCAATGTTTGTGTGAACATTAAGCCTCACAAGTGAGGAATCTTTTGTGAAAAATCTTTCTAGCCTTATTAAGCAAAGTGTTTTAAACTGTGTATTTGTGTGTAGAGGTGTGTGTATGTGAGTGTGTGCATGTGTGTTGCTAGTTCAGGGACATACTAGAGAGTCCAGAACATTACTTGGAGCTACATGTTTTTCAATGTCTATTCATGGACGTGGACTTCAACATTAAACACCACCAGGTGTCACTAGATAAGACGACATTTCTGAAATAGTGGTAACTCCTTACATTATATACCCAGTTGTACCCATTTTACATGAAATACATCCTTTCTTTTTGGAGTCACACACATACAATTATAATGATTGTATATTACAGGCTTTGTTTTTTACACAGTCAAGCCTTAAAACAGATATCTGAGAATGTAATATAGAATCAAAATTAAGTTAGAGGAAAAACCAGAAACATTTTCTAAATCAAATAAAAAATAAATCACATAGTTTTAAAATTTTTCAAGTTATTTTTAGGTCATTAGATGTTATAATAAATTTCAAAATACAAGTTTTTTTTAATTCTGAGTATAATTTAGTGACTTTTATTTTGAAATCAGTTGTTCCTAGTCTTTCAAGCAGTGCCAATTCCATCAGTATATCATCTTTTGTTAAAATATAAAATGATCCCCTGTATTATAAAAGTATGTAAAACTGTTTATGTTAGGAAATCTATGTATGTTCTATAGATTTACATAAGCAATGATCTGTCACATCTGTAAATTAAATATAATATTTCTTTAATAAGTGTGGGAAATTTCAAGTCAATAATTTAACTACTTGTGGATTTGCCTCTCAAGTTTTTAATGCTGTTGATACTTATGTTCCCTCATTTGGGAATAGAAATATACTAGAATATGCTCACATAGCACGTCTGAGTCTGAAGGGAGGAAAGCTTCTCAGCCTTTATGGTTGGTTCCTTATTTCCTTTAGGCTGAATTGACTTAATGCCATGGCAGCAATGCTTTTATTTTTCAATCCCGCTTTTAGAAAAGTTTTAAAAAATCCGTGTCCCCAAAGCTTTAAATCTGATATTAATACTCTTAATGGTTATGTCACTGGATAGTACTATCTCTTGAATCATCTGTTATGCAAAAGCAGAACCCATCCTAGCTGGTAGACACCTGTGATAAACAGAATAGTGCCCCCCACACCCCGCCCCACAATGTCCATGCCTTCATCTCTAGAATCTGTTGTTTTACATGGCAAAGGAGGCTTTAGGTTGCTGATCAATAGACCTTGAGATGAGATTATTCTGGATTATCTGGCTGGTCTCAGTGTAAACACATGGTCCTTAAAATTGCAAAAACAAAAGAAATACTTTGTTTGCTTGCTACAAAGCGTATCTCTGCAGAGAATACATTTCTGTTTTGTGATCAGATCTTATATGAGTTTTGTGCTAGGTTCTTTATATATATGTCTCCCAAATTGTGTAAGTTATCATTGATAGCTGGCCATTTCACTACCGAGTTCTTAAAATGCTTTATTGTAAGCTCAGAAGGGATAAAGGTCATGTATAAAGAGACATTTAACCTCTATACCACTTAAATCTCATAGTTTCTTTTTCTTTGTCCCTGTTGCGCTCTCTATGATTCTTCAGAGTTCTCTTCCTATCTTAACTTTCTCTCCAGCTCTAATCTGTTGTTTTACATGTCCATTTTACATTTTTGAAGTGATAACTATTTCATTTCAAAGTATAATTTTCATTGATGTCTTTCTGCTTGTTTATTTTTCATCTCATCCTCTATTTCTTTATATATTCCATATAGTGTTCCTTAGCTTTCTGTATCTGAAAATCTGAAAGGGTTAAATCTGTTTGGATTGTTTCTCTTGACTCTCCTGTATAGTGGCTGTTTCCTTCTGTTTTAAAGCATTTAGGCTGTGTAATCTCCTCTTCCTCCCTTTCCTTCCGTCCCTCCCTTGCCTTCCTGTGCCCTTGGAGATTTCCTTATGTCAGATTAAGAACATCCAAACCTATAGAGAATGTTTATAAAAATGTATTTCGGCCAAACGGAGAATACACCTAGAAGCAAGATCTTAACAAACTGAGAAAAATGCTTCTCAGAATGGCAGCTGGCAGCTTCTTTTATGCATTAAGGAGCAAAAGTAAGGAAAATTGCTTGAATTTGGAGAAAGGAAAGCAGGGATTGGATGACAGGAGAGTTAACAAGATTATGCTCTCTCTTGAGGGTGGTTTCTCTTCTGAGTGGTATGAAAGAGGCATTTCAAAGGTGTGTTAACCTCTGATGCACAGAAACCATAGACCAGGCTTGCTTAAGGCAAAGTGAAATCTTTTATGAAAGGAGTTACATGCCTGGGGCTTGACTGCTCACCAGGATCTGCAAGGTTAGGAATTTATGATCAGATCACCCTGTGAGGCTACTTGCCCTGGAACCCCCTTTTTGTCCACACTTGTGAGCTCACCGATGCATTCGTTTTTTTATTTCTTGTATTTTGCCCAAGATCAGCTTATACAATGACAAGATTTCCTTCAAAATACCTGGTATCTCACCATAATGGTGGGAAGAAAAATATTCTTCAAATGATTTTCTCAAGAGAGGATTTCTTTTTGATTTTACTGGGAGTCATAGGTATGCTACCAATGTAAGACAAATTCAGTGCCCTTCAGTGGCCCCATGAAATGCTGAAACCCTAAGTTCAGTTTTTCTGGTTTTAAAGGGATGGAAGTTTGGATTCTGGATCCCAGTGCTGGTATTATTCTTAGCCCAGGCAGCAGGCAACCTGGCTTCTGGATACGCCTTCTTTTAAGTTAAATATTTCATTCTCATTCTGTTACAGTTGTCCCAATTTTCTCCCTTTGCTCTCCTCCGCCCAGCCCACACCCCCGGCTCCCAGTCAATCCCCACACTGTTGTCCATGTCCCTGGGTCATTCATACGTGTTCCTCGACGAGTCCCTTCCCCTCCTTTCCACCCTTATTCCCCTCCCCCCTCCCCTCTGGATATGCTTTATGCTTATTTTCCCTTCCCTCATCTCAACTCATTCCTCCCTCTTGCTCTCCTTTTTTTTCCCTTTCCTCCCTCTCCCCTTCGTTCCTTCCTTCCTTCTTTCCTTCCCTCCTTCCTTCCTATTCTGCCTCCTTCCCTCCCTCCCTGCTTGGGAATTTTGTTTATTTCTTTGTGTGTACAACAGTACAGAGAGGGGCAAAAGTACCTTTACAGTTGTATGGAAACTAATATGATAATAAATAATAGTACAAGGATAAACTCTGTTTTGTGTACTCACAAATATAAAACTACTTTTGGCCCCCCCAGTACATTACAATTTTGTTTTGTTGTATTTTCTCTAAGTGTAAAGTAGCATGAGACCCTTCAGAGTATCTGGTATCCCACGCTAGTGGTGGAAGTGAAAAGTGTTCTATTGTAACCGCTGTGAACCCAATGAGGCTTTTCTACTGTGAAAATAGTAGGTAGAATGAAGTAGTCACTAATTTTGAAGCAATATTGCGAACACTCAGAATCCACAGCCAATTTTCAATCTCACATTTTAAAAGAGAACAGCATAAACTAATAAATAAATACAAATAACCTGTCTGCATAAAGGAAAAACTGGCTACATCTATCTTAGATGCAGCAGTTGTTTCTTCTCTGGAGAAAAAATGACTAAACAATCTGCAGTGCTGTGAAGACACTAACAGTGTTTTGGGCTTTAACAGGTCCAAAGGACTATAGCTAAGCAGATTCAGATGGTGAAACAGATTGGAAAAGGTCGCTATGGGGAAGTTTGGATGGGAAAGTGGCGCGGTGAAAAGGTAGCTGTGAAAGTGTTCTTCACCACAGAGGAAGCCAGCTGGTTCCGAGAGACAGAAATATATCAGACAGTCTTGATGAGACATGAAAACATTTTGGGTAAGTCTGTATAGCAATGTTCAGGGTTTTCTAGCTTTTCTCTATTTTCCTGTTAGCATCTGCATATTAACTCATCTGTCTAGACCTGTTGGGAAATATATAGACATTTTCTTCTAGGCGTGAGCCCAAGAATGTCAGAGCTTCTAATGGGAGACCTCGCAGGAGGAATGACTAAGGCACCTCTGTGAATGAGTGGTGGGATGAAATGGAATGCTCTCCAGTATTTTTTCTTGAAGGACAGGAAATGCAAATACAATAATACTAGCATTTCTGAGGGTTTCTTAGAGATCTAAAGGAGCACATTTTTTTTTTACACGATGTGCAAAGTTGTAAGAATTTTATCTGCAGGGTTTATTTATAGCCAGAGTTTATATGGATAATTGATTTCCTTTTTCTTTTCCCAAGTTAGAAACGATCTAGCTGGATCATTCAACTGCAAAGAGATTAAGCCAATCTGAGGCATAGGCTTTGACTCAAGTCCTTGTTTTGTAAATAGTGTCTTATGTATAACTATAATACTATGAACTATTTACTGTTAACCTAAAATAATTTAAATATCAACAACTGATTGGAAAGGAATCATGTTTTCAGATCAAAACTCTTTTTTATAAAAATTTTTAAAAAAGACTTTATGTATTTGTTTTTAGAGAGGGGGAAGGGAGAGAGAAAGTGAGGGAGAGAAACATCAATCAGTTGCCTCTCTCACCTGCCCCAGCCCGGGCTGATTGCACAACTCAGGCATGTGCTCTTACTGGAATCAAATCTGTGACCCTTGGCTTTCAGGGACGATGCCCAACCAACGGAGCCACACCAGCTAGAGCCTGAGAGAAACTCTATGTTTCTCTACCCCTATTGCTTTGATTGTCTCTGATTGGTATTAGTAATTCCACACTGTCATAGGCATGATCAAAAAATTGAATGAAATGCTAAACAAAAGACACCTGTGACAAAGAATGATCATTGAGAATATGACTTATTCCTGATGAGATCCATAAAAACACTTAGCTACAAACCTTTTTGTTTTCTTTTCTTCTAGGGTTTATTGCTGCAGATATCAAAGGAACAGGATCCTGGACCCAGTTGTACCTAATCACAGACTATCATGAAAATGGTTCCCTCTATGATTACTTGAAGTCCACCACCCTAGATATTAAATCGATGCTGAAGTTAGCCTATTCTTCTGTCAGTGGCTTATGTCATTTACACACTGAGATCTTTAGTACTCAAGGCAAACCAGCAATTGCCCATCGAGATCTGAAAAGTAAAAACATCCTGGTGAAGAAAAATGGAACTTGCTGTATAGCCGACCTGGGCCTGGCTGTTAAATTTATTAGGTTAGTATCAAGGTGAACAAAATACACTTTTTATGATTCTTTTTTATCACTTTTTATAGATTATACATCTTATAGTTCAGTGCTTCTAGGATATTTACTAGAGGGGAACTTCTATTAATTTTGACTTTTGGGAGGGAAAGATAAGAAATATTTTATTTGCAACACCAAGTGGTTCAGTTCTACTATTTCTATGGCTTCAAAACAATGTTAGTATATTGTTTGGGTTTGTAGCTGTCATGAAGCTATTTCGAAAAGAGGTAGCTCGTGTCTCAGATTATGTGGTCAAAATTCTACATCACATTTGTAAGTAGGAAAAGGTTTCAGGAAAGATCCACAGATTATGGGGTGATAAAGGCAACGTTTTTTATGTAATAGAAGAAAGATCACTTGCATAGGTGTTTTGCGAGAAATGTTAGACTCTAATTAACAAAACGCAGCCAGTATTCAGCACTGTCACACTGTGGCTTAAGCAGTGGCTATAACACCTGAACACATAGATCAGCACGGGTTATAAAACAGCGGGTTTTTAGACCCTGGGAGGGAGAAGGGGGAGCTCCTTGAGTGCCACCAGGTGCTCCTGTAGGATGGGCAGGGGGCGCTCACAGCTGAGGCTCTGCTGCGCCTTCCGTCTCAGTCAGAGCAGCCCCTTTTGTCTTGCAGATGATTCAGTTGGAAGAAATGGTTCCTCTGCTTTGGAAATAAAACAGCCAAACAAAGTGATTTTACAAACCACTGGCTTAGAGGGATCATCGTATAACTACCTTTTTATGAACTAAATTTTGGCTTAGCCTTATTAAATTGTTGGACCCTCTTGTGGATTTTTCCCAAAGGTGACTCTATAAGATGTAGAAAAGGGCACAAAGAAAAAGTCACGGAGATGATTAAAAGTTTTGAAAAATGAAACTCACAAGAAAGAACTAATGAATTCATATTTTCAACCAGAAGTGAAGGCTAAAGAGTGGTTGAATAATAAGAACCAAATACAGGAGGGTCCTCACCAGTTAGAGAATGGCAAGCTGAAGCTCCTGATATTTAAAACAGAGCAGTAGGAAATGACTTGAACTGTAGATTTAACTTAGAAATGTGAACCTCCTGCCAATAAAGATTATTAAATCCCTTCTCCCTCTGAATTCTTTTTTGTTTTTCGACCTACAACCCTTTTCAAGTCTTTCTTACCAAAAAAAATTCCCATTTTGCTTCTCAAATTAATAGTCTCTCTCTTTTCTTCTCTGTTAAGTGTCTTGATAGTTCCAAAGAATAATCTGCTTTCACAACCCAGTAATTCATAATACCTTGCAATTTGGCTTCTGCTTCATTCTCTCCTGAATCTCCTTCATTGAGGGACACTGTTGATCTTTGTCACCACAAGGCTTTCTTTTTTTTTTTTTTTTAATTTATTGATTTTTAGAGAGAGAAAAGGAAGAAGGGGGGAGATAGAAATAGAGATAAAGACAGAGATAGAGAGAAACATCAGTTTTTGTTCCACTTATTTATGCAATCATTGGTTTATTCTTGTATATGCCCTGACCGAGGATTGAATCTGAAACCCTGGTGTATTGGGATGATGCCCTAAAGCAACTGAGGTGCTGGACCAGGACCTCAGAGGGCTTTCTGATTGTCACGTTACTCTCCACAGTGTGTAAGGTTCTCTTCCTCCTGTTTTCGTGATGTGTCTTTTTAGTCCAGGTTCGCCTCTCTCTCTGAAGGTTCTGCTCTGCCTCCTTCTTAGTTTTCCCACCGCTAGATCTCCTGCCGTATCTGCTTTTCGCTCCTAGTTTCCAGTGTTGGTCAATCCACTCTCAGAGGGAGGTGCCTGACATTTCCTTTGTTCCTAAAAGTTTTGGTTTACTCAGTTGAATAAATTCTGTCTCCACGATAGTCCCACTTGAACTGGGACAGTTTGGGTCCTCTCTGCCGTGTTTTCCAGATTCTGGAGTAAAGCGTTTTGTGGTTGCTTCCTACTTGTGACTTTTCCTACGTGCTGCTGCCAGATTTATTTTCTTGAACTATAATTTTGGTCATCATAATAATTTCAAAGTTTCTTATGGTTTTGGGATAAAATGTAGCTTTTATTCTGAACACTTTGTACTTTCTCTAATCTTCAAGTGTTTTTAATATACTTTGATCTTTACCTAAATACCCAACATCCCTCTTCTATTTAGATAACTGCTACTTACCTGACAGTTTCTTCCTTTGGGAAGCCTATTATTATTCCCTTACGAGTCTGATTTTGTGAGTCCTCTTACAAGTGTATCCTCCCATGTCATGCTCTGCACACTCTCATGACATTTCCCACAGTGTTGTGCAGTGATCATTGACTACTTATATGTTGTTCACATTGGAGACTAAGCTCCATGGAGATAAAAACCATGTTGTTCTGAAATTGACATCCCTAGTGCCTTTCCTTTGTGCCCATTACTTAAGTATTGATTTAAAATTTTGCGTAATGGATAAATGAATGCTTTCATAGGGACAGCAGGATGAAGGGAAGGAAAAAAAAACAAAACACCTTTTCTTAGCTCCAGAGATCTTACACACTCTGGAATTAATTCACCTTTCTGGTTTTATATTCCACAAAGTTTCCAATTTGCATGTTTTCTTAAGCAAAACTGGACTGCTTGCATTTTCCCGTATCTATTGCATGTTTGCTATTGCCTTGTTTTTGATTGCATGGTCTGTGCTTTGGGATGCCCTTACCTCTCTGTGTACCTTAATCCAATCTCAGAGTTGCTTTTAAGTCACTCTACTCACCAGCCCACACCTCCCCACTGCCCAGCTAGGAAAAATGACATCATCTTTTCTACTCCTAGAATAATTCCTGGCCGTTCGCTCTGTGAAATTATAAATATTTTAGTACATGCATCTTTTTACTCGTCATTGGGCATCTTGAGAGCAGGATCCATGCCAAATTAATGTACCTCCCATTTGACATGACAGAGTGAGTTACCCATTATAGGTATTCCAACATCGTTTTGAATAAAAAAAATGTTGGCATTTAAAAGTAATTGAGAACTCATCTTCTTTATAGGCCTTAAAACAAGCAAGGAAAGTATCTGTTACATTTCTGAAACTTAGTTCTGCTTAATGTAAGGGGAATAAACTGAATGGCTTCTGAAATTTCGTGCAGACCCTGATTCCAAGACGTAGAGAGGAATATTTTAAGGGATAAATCAGCGATCTATTTGGCGTATACAGACTAGTTCCTCTTGGGAGGAAAGGTGTGAGGATGCTTACCCAAGTGTGGAACTGCGACGGCTGGGGGACACACAGGTCCCACTCAGCTAAAGAGCAGCTGTGAGGCCGTTTGCCATTCTGGGCCTCCGTTGCCTCTGCCATTAAGTGGAGGTTGCTTTTGATAATTTCAGATGTCCTTTTCACTCTTATTTTTTTTGTTTCAAAGGAACTTTGCTCTTCTTAAGTTTTGAGCCTCACCTTTAAACCTTGGCTTTGTATGTTTCTTTGGCTTCCACTCTGTTCCCGACTTCCCTGTGTTAGGAATGCACACGCAGAAATTTAGAGCATTTTATTACAAGTGTGGTCAAAATTAACCCAGGGGTGAGTTCTTGGACTTCATATTGAACTTCCTTTGAGAACTTAATCTTTGCCCTGGTCTCTACATGGTAAGTGTTCTCTCAGGCTTTTAAGTCATTTCTGGGAGACTCCTAGGGAAGTTGAGAGCCACAGAGAGAGTGAACTGTGCTTTAGCGATTTCCTGCACATACAATATATTTTTTTTATCCTGAATTGGTTCCTTCATGCACTGTCTTGAAAGTGATGTAAGTGCCGACTCATTTCCTGGCCAACAGAGATTTAATCCAGGTGATACTGTGGCAGCCCTTACCCTTACCTCAGATCGCTCCCGGGAAGAGAGAGCAAGGACACGTGCAGTCCCTTGGAGGAACTTAACAAAGCTTTTCACTTTTTACTCTGGAGGATCAAGCAACCCCACTGGTACTTTAGTGTCAGAATACTATATATATATTTTAGGGGGAAAATAAATCCTGGCTTAGGGCCTCTCAAGTATTCAATTTTAACTAGAAAACCTACAATGAAAATCGGGCTGTAACACCGCATCTCCCAGTTGGTGCTTGTCCAATTGTCCAAGTGCAGGGGAGACCGCCCAGCCCAGAGGGCACTACCTTTCCTCAGCCTTTCCGCTGTAACTATTTTTAGCATTGTGTCTGGTTTGTATACTTAGTGGTTTTTGAAAAAATTGACATGGCTCAGTGACTTGCCAAAGTCACAGGACTAAGCTAATTAGTGGCTGAGTCAGCTCTCCCGGTCAAGGTCTCTGCAGCCATACCCACCTCCTATTGAAGAGTTTTCAGTTCTGAAGTTCTGTTTCTAAGAAACCCTGAGATTTCTCAGGACTTAATCATAGAAGCCATGGGTCCTGTTGGAAAAAGGGACGGGAAGCTCTTCCTTGTAGTTAATATGACTGGGCAGAGTTCAGTGCAGCAAGTCAGTTCCACAGCAATTTACAAGACATCCAGGAAACACCACGGGGTGAGCACAGCTCTGTCTGCGGAAGGCTCGTGAGAATCTTTCATGCTTTGGGAGGTCATTTCAGTCTCTCTAAGAGGTGATTTAATATTGTCTGGTATATTCACGTGTGGTTAATTTCAAACACCATTTGTCAGCCACAAGCAAACCCATAGCCTTCCTCACATGTCTTTTGCCCTCACCCTTCTCCCAGTGTTCTTAACAGTTGAGTTCTTATTTAAAAAAAAAACACAAAACTTTCAGATTATTAAATACTGTTTGTTCCTCTTTCACTATTACCTTTTTATTTTCCTTCTCCCTCTCTCCTCCCTTTCCTCCCTGTTTTAGGCATCAGCAATGTCTAGTTGAAGACGCTGCCTGTGGCCGAAGGCTCAGTGAGGTAGAGCCGCCCCGTTGGAGCCCACGGTGCAGTCGGTTCCCGGCTGCCTCCCTTGTCCACAGTGGGCTCTGCGTGAGGCTCTCATGAGACTTTCAGTCTCTCTTCCATTTATGGTCCA